ATGTGAAAGTATTGATATTTTTTGTTTCCCTTCCTGGAAGCCATTCACAGCGTTTTGCCACAAGTTTCATCAACCAGAGGTACTTGTTCTACGCATAGTTGGATACCCACGGGGAATTTTAAATACGTTTCTGCATCCCGCTGTTTTAACAAATAATCTTCTGATAAAACATTTTTACTCTGTGTGAAACATCAGTATACAATCGTCTGTTGGATATTGCCCATTGTCTCGTATATGTTTTATATACGTTATGTTTAAGGACTTTATGTACTCCCGGTTTCAGGTGACTGGTTTTTAGGTTAGGCCTGTACTGAGGATTTACATTATACCGAGAGATTATTTTATATCAAGTTCCTGACTGAACCCATGACTCTTTAAATGCTCGTCTGGTACGTTGGAAACTATACCATTGGTTCGATTCCAACAGCAGCTACTGGTTTTAAAATAAATTAAATTGAAAATGTGTGAGGTCTTTGTAATGACAGTCACTTGAAGACGGGAGTTTTCCCAACTTCGTAACGTTGTGCATGTAAAATATCAATGTTGGTAATCGGCCACTATCACAAACTTTTTAATAAGAGTCAGTGAAATATCAGGCTAAATACTGTCTGCAATAGCAGCTGGGATGAACTGAACTAAAGGCTTATTTGTATGAGCGTAGCATGAAAACAAAATTACTTGAGCTAGTCACAGTTTCTCTCGACTCGCAAGTACTTGAATATCTTCCTACTTTAGACGACGCAGTGATAACAAGTCGATCCAGGAACTCGTCTGCGCATTGCACAGCCGAGAACACGAATTGTCTGCTGTCCATTTGCTCCCTGTAGTGCCATCTTCTATTGCAGATAGTTCAGTTGTATGTACGTGTACTTATTGTCTATTATATTGTTTTTGTTGCTTTGTGCTGCTTCTAGGAGGAGTGTTCAATGAGAACACAGTCATTGTCGGTGAGTGCTTCTGCTAAATGTTCTGTCTGCATGCTTTCCGTATTATTATATAGCACAAGTGAGATGTTTCAATGATCATCAATCATCGGTCTAAGTTATTTTGTATGTCTTATTTGTTATTCACGAATGTCATCTGATGTCATTTATACACGTTTACAGGTCATCTTTTGATTGAATATTAGACTCGTCTCACAGGTGTGAGTTTGGCCTACAGAATGAAATATCGTACTAAGATATTTATAACAATAAAAGTATATTTCTCGCTCAGCTAGTCAACAATTTCGCTCACTTTATGGAACCTAAAGGTTCAGAAGAGACCATTAGAGGACTTTGTTCCGAATCACGTAAACATGGTCCACTCCATACGCCCCAATTCTATTTAAGATCCATTTTAATATTATATTCACATCTACGTATAGGTGACCTAAGTGGCGTCTTTCCTTCAGCTTCTTCGACTAAAATGTTGTAAATTTCTTATATTTACTCTGTTATATGTCTCGGCCCTCTGATTCTCCTTGAATTAGATCGTCCTAATAATTGTTGAAGAACAGTGTAAATTATGAAATTCCTCATGTAATTTTCTTTAGTTTATTTTTACTTCCTGGTCCAAATATTCTCATCACTTTGTTTTCTAATATCCTCAAGGCCATCTTCATAGTTTAATTGTTGTTAATTCGTAGAACTTTGCCTCCATGCCCTCTCTACACCCCCGTGTCATAGTAGTTATTGAAAATCAGGTTACAGGAATGAAATCCATAACAGTATATTTATGTACACTCACTATCACGTGACTTTGCTTTCCGTTCGATGGGACCGAATGTTTGTGAGGTCCTGTCTTGCCACGTTCTGGACACAAACCATGGGAATGAAGCTAATTCCCAGAGAAGCAGTTAGGGTTGCGCTCAGACCTTGTAGTCGAAGTGATTTTTAAGTAGGGAAGCCTGCAGCTGAATTTCTGTGTGTGGACGGAAGCGGAGAGTGAATATATTAGGGAATGGATTTTTGGTGTTGGTCAGGTGCCAGAAGAGGGGGGGGGGGTGTTGGCAGTGCCGAGAGGACGGACAATGGTCGGTCAGTGATAAATGCAGTGAGAGTTTCCGCAAAGTAGCTTCTACACTGCTTTGACGTTGCCAGCGTCCAGTGTATAAAAGAACGACTTTATTTATGTACCTCGGGGTGAGTTCAAAGGAATATTACGTATTTTCTTGTCTCACGAACTGGTAGATATTTAAATTTTTATAAAATTATAATTAAAATTCTGGGTTTGTGTGCTTTGAGGGTTTTTGAGAAAGAAGTATTGAGGAGAATATTTGGATCTGAGATAGAGGAAATAACAAATGGACAAATTTACATACTTAATGAGAAGTTTCATGCTTTGTACTGATCACAAAATCTTTGGGGTGGGCGCGTAGTACGTATTGCGGGCATATACAAGTTCAGTCTGTGAAATTGAAGGTAAAAGGTCATTTAAAAGAAATGGGCGTTAATGGAAAGGCAGTATTGAAGTATATTTTAGAGACAGTGTTCGTATATAGACTGGATTCAATTGGATGAGGATATTTCATTCGTTGGCGGGAATGTCCTGAATCTTAGGTGTTTTAAATTAATTTTGTGTATCCTGTCAGCTTTTACGCCTTGGTCTCCCCACTTGCTTCTTACTTTCAGGTTTACCAACTGAAAATATGGCTCTGACCCGCATTTTCTATTGGTAGATGGCGGATCGGTTGTTTATAAGTTCGTTTCACAGATAATCTAAAACTTTTGAATCCGAATGATTTGTTGGTAATTCCGTGGATTTCAAAAGTTCTGAACACGTGGCACACAGAATTGGCATCATCCTGCAGTTTCAAGAAGCGGGTCACTTGAATGTAACTGTGCATATTTTCAAAATTCAAAATGAAAATATTTTTCTGTATAACGAATCAACCAAACTGAACAAATTTCTCTGTACACAAACTTAGTTATGTTCTGCACAGCCTACATGAGTTTCATTTAGATCCGTTCAGCAGTTAATATTTAACACTGTTTTTGAAAGACGTAATTTTTTGCCTCACCCGGTATTTCTGTCCAGAAATTGTCATTTCAGTATTTTGGTGTTCAAAACTCACGTGTATAATTTCCCGTGCGCTTTGGAGTGTTATGCGGGTGCAATATTGTCGTGAATCAGTAAAGTTACATCAGATATGACGTCAAGTATCGGGATTATCGCTGTCGTCCAAATACTATAGATTTATCACAGATACCTACAAACAGACGCGACGGGGGGAACCCAAACCAAATGGAAATTGAATAAAAATGAGGGTGAATAAAGGGGCAAAAATGAGAGAAGGGGTAGTTGAATTTCCTATTTTCTCACCCTTCACCCTTCCCCCCTCTGATACTTCCTCACATACATACGTGTACAGAAACATCAGTATTTTCAACGTTCCATTGAAAACTGGAGGGGGAAAATGTTTGTTTGTCTCACAGAAGCAATTGGGGTGGAGGTAGGGGTGTTGTTTCAATGTAGCAAGGGTTGAATCTTTCTGGACCAATATTTGGGGCTCTGTGTAAGGTGATATCGGCCTACGTTATGTACAAATTTGTAGAGCGAGATTGTGTGTCGCCTGATAATCGATTGATCGCAATCGTGATGAATGGTAAAGCTGTAACTCGGAAATAGGCATGTTGCCCGGAAGTCTGAAAGAATTGTTTCTGTGGCTTCGTGCAGACAGGAGTGTCAAATCGTATTATTCCACCCATTTCTATCATTGGTTTATTCCTACGATTTAAAAAAATATCAGTTATATGATTTGTGGCAAATCTTTGTTTATTATAGTAATATGCCACTGTATCAGATATAAAACATTGTTTAATGAGGGCAGTCGCTCAGTTTTTACGACACCAAATGGCGCAACAAATCAAAAGGCATTCTTTTTTATCCCCTGAAAACATGAAGTATAACCAAGGAGGGACTGATGTTTTTCCTTCAGACGAATGTTCACTGCGCATGCGCAGAACATCACTTCCGGCCGCCCTCAACACAGTTACCAGCATCCATGAATCTGTTCTCTCCTTTCCTGGACAGTCTATTGCATACATTACATAATGTAGATAAGAAATACATAGAGAATTGTAGTAAGGAAGCCGAGAGGGGAGAAGTCATTAAGGAGACCTTAGCGTAAGTTGGAAGTTAGCATGGATCTTGAAGAAACAGTGCGAGATGGTTCGGATTGGGTTCAGCCGGCTTTGTATGCAATTCAGTGGTTAAAGTGTGATGAACCTTCGGATTTTTTTTAAAATCAAGAGCTCCTTGTTTCGCTGAGCGAGTATTTGCTTCCAAAATTCAAGAGTGATTTTCGGAGTAAAAAAAAAAGTCGAAAGACAGTAATTTTTCAGGAAATTAAAATAAAGTGTAACTACTATCTTTTATGTAGGAAAAATACATCTGTGTTTTATTATTGTCTAGAGCTGGGTGATGTTAACTTAATTTCTGAAACTTTTTTCTCTTTTTTTCAGTGCTTATAATATATTTTAGTTTGTTCCATAATGCACTAAGTCAGATGACTCTTCTAAAGCAGTGGGCATGTTATAAATAGCCACATTATGAATCCGCTATAATATATACGAAGTCATTATTGTAAACCAAACGTCTGTTGCTAACAAGGCAGTGCCTTCAACCGGAACATGTCTTCAGTGACTGCAGTAACTCTTTTGCTGTAATCTCCATGTTTGTAACACAGTCAAAATGGCACACGCGCGCTGGTATAGAGCAGTATGGCATTTCAAACTGTTCAGATTTCTGCCAAAATGGAAAATTTCTTTGTATTGTAATGCGAATAACATAGAACTTACTGTTACGTGCAATATGTAATTTACACAGAACATGCAAGGCTGGAAAAGGAAACAAAATATTATGAAAAACTGACATGGTTTGTTAAGGAAAATCACTCTTCAATTGGGCCCTTTTCCTTGGAGTTAACAGTAGAATGATTGTGAATGTCATGAGGTATCACGAGTGTTAAATATCGCTACAGACGGCAGATCTGATGGTTTCTTTTTCTTTTTCTGCAGCAGTGGACGGGCGATGGTCGTCGTGGACGCAGTGGTCTGCCTGTGGACCGGACTGCAAACATCATCGACGTCGAAGTTGTGCCAGTCCTTCGCCAAGTAACGGTGGGAAATACTGTCTGGGCAGAGACCTCGCCTCTGCGAACTGTACCGGCGGAATGTGCCTTGGTGAGTGATTATAAATGTTGCTCGCTTCGGTTTTCTTCTGTTGCCTGCATAAATGCGTTTGCATACTTGGATTCTGTAGGGTTTTGACTGAGGGCGGAGTCCCTCGCAAGCGCAGTACATCGTCCCTTGCTAGATAACACCATTCCTGCGTACGAAACGCTTGCTGTAAATGGTAAACAGAGCTTTACGACTAAAACGGGAGTGTGCTTCCGCTAACGGGGGTTTGTCGCGGAAGAAGCCTTGCCTATTCAAACTGGGGTCTGCTGCTGCTGATGAGAGATTGTCAGGAAACTTGTCCTTCCTGAAAAGGATTTTAGTTGGATGGTTCCCTGGGATTTGAACCCAGAAGGGGTGGGATCGCTTCGGCTGAAGGCCTTTGCGACTTGAGGGAAATCATTTCAGCTGAAGGCCTCCGTGATTGGGGATGGCGGGTCGTGCCCCTTTTGAATTATACACTGGTATTTGCCTTACAACTGAGGAAAAGCACGGAGTTTGAGGGTTGGGTTTTGAGACTCGGTTTGATGTATTTTATTTCCTCCACTATTTTATTTGTAGTCTTTGAGTTTTGTACCTTTTCTATAATTTTTATCGATATATCTTTTTATTGTCTCTCTTCGACAGAACCTGACCTGAGGTTTTTGTACTTAGGTTTCTGTTCTGAACAAGGTTGTCCAGTGACTGAGACTAGCTCTTTCTAACGGGCCCAACAGATTAGGTGACCTTGGACTATGTACCTGAAGACGTAAACTGATTCGGTTTTCGAAAAGTTGTATATATTTTAATTTTGGGCATTGGGCAAAGTCCAAAAACCCAATAAACCCTACTGGGTCTACATACAATAGAAAAAGGTCTGAGGATCAATTTTATATATTTTAACACACCATGTTTACGCATTTATATGTTGCTATGTTGGGACACGGAAATATAAATCGAGGTTCGATTTGTTTTAGCATATTTTCCACCAATGTAATTGAAACATAACTGTGCATATACTGCTTCACGACTTTTGAAACACGACCTAAAGGAGCAAAGAGCTCGGTTAAATATTACATAGCGCAGCTGTAATTTGCCCGTTGACCATGGAAAACATTTTTCGCTTACATGTAACATTTTGGAAGATAATGAAATAAAACCGAAACCCCTTTACTCTTGTTACAATAAATCTTTCACGGGTTTCAGCTACAATTTATTAATATCAGACTCATCGTAAGGCTGCATAAAAAAGAGGAACGAGTCAGTACCCACCCTTCATATAAAACACGCCTACTCCTACGTGATTTATTATTCGTGACTCTCGTGACACACGAATTAGAATTTCATGAGTAATTTTAAATTCAGTACAAGCACACTGTTACATTTACAAGTGTTGATATAAATACACACGAATTTTGTTTGTGCGCTGTAAATTTATTGTAGAATACGTCTTTCAGGATAATGTTTATGAGGATGTGTTTCTCAGCCTCGACTTTCGATCAGGAATTCTTGACAGGACCTCGTATTCTTCGGCTAAAGTGGCCACTTTTACAAATAACGTCTAATTATACAGGGTAATTTCAAGGTGTGCTGCAGTAATCAAAGAGGTTATTAGGGAGATAATTCGGAACAGAAAATTTAATTTTTTTTCCAGATGTGCCAATGTTTCCGAGTTAACACGTTTTTTATGTATATGACGCTTTTAACCTTGTGATTGTGGATTTTTAAAAAATGGAAATAATTCGTTTTGACAAAACATGTTATTTGAATTTGTGACAGCCTGTTCTGAGTTCAATTCCCTACAGGCTACCAAGATTGTAAATCCGGTTGTGTGCTATGCGGGCTGGCGATTGTGACGTGTTGTTGACAATGGTCAGAAACGAAAATTAGCTGGTGGGAAGTAATTGTTTTCTTTTTGAGGTCCGGTTCTCTCGCGTCGGCAAGTATCAAGGGGACATAGGCTTCTGGCACGTTCTGGAACAGACGTGTAGCTCGTATGTTATAATAAAGTAAAGTTTAGACGTTGTAAGATGGTTGCATCATTCCGCACGTATCAAGGGGACATAGGCTTCTGGCACGTTCTGGAACAGACGTGTAGCTCGTATGTTATAATAATTCCTCGAGTAATATAGATCTCGTGCGACAACAACAACAACAACAAGCATCCTATAACAAACTGTGCCTAACCCACCTCAGCTAGTCGGGATACAAGTGCAAATAGAGGTGGACGGTTACAATTTCCTTCTTTGCAGTGAAAGCAAATTCTGCCCCTTTGTAACTTTTTCAGTTGTCACTTCACAGTACTTTTATGAGTACTTATCTGATTCCATATCAAATTATCGTAATAAAAATGCATCGATGTAAAAAGTCTTCACTTGGAAACGGTGGTGAATCTGCTAAAAAAACATGGTTTAAATTTTGCTTCTGATTATCTATCATAAAACCTTCCGTAGTACTATAATAGAGCTTTGAATCACCCTGTATAAGTAAAATAAGGCTTGTGATAATGGCTGCGACTGGTCCTCATATCTGTAATTAAAGACTTACGTACAAATTGTTCTGTTTTTGTGAACACTTTGCGTTGGTCGTAAGAATGGACTCAGGAGGTCGAAACTACGTTACAGTGCGGAGTCCTGCTTGTGAAGCGGCTAGTGACCATGAGGTCCCACACTGAATTGTCGCCAGTTCTCTCGTATCGATTATGGATTTCCACTATGCCTTTTACTTATATCGGCACTGTTTTATTGCCCTAGGATTACGATTTTGAGCGCGCTATTGAACGTTGATCTCTACACCTTGCTGAAACACTTTCTTAGATATACCAGGTCTCGCAATTAAATAACCAGACTGGTAATTTTTGTGCAGCAGCTGGTAACACTGTTGAGTTGCTTCGTACTGATTTAAGATTTGGCATGCTAATTACTTTTTATATAAAGTCGTACATTACGAAATATATTCACCTAAAACTGTTTGTCAAGTTCCTTTTCGAGTTTGGGAAGGTTTGCACAGCGCATTCCTGGAAAAATACAAAGTTTTAGGCCCCAGGAGTGAATTGTTTTATAACGGCAATATGCCGTTATGTGACACACATTTCTAAGTCGATTTCTGATCCACAAACAAATACTAGTATTCGGACATCAATCGATCTCGCCTTATTTAGCCCCGTGTGGAACGATAGAATTTCATTGAAATGTCCTCATTTTGAATCACTTGAGTTACACTTTTGTATAGCTCTGGATCATTAAAGTGTATTGTTGGTAATTTATACACGTAGTTTGTGCTGTGTCCTTTGAAGCATCTGGAAGGAAACGGGCTTCATGAATTCTTCACAGAATGTCTAGTTACAATAATGTTGATATAATCTGATTATGTTTTTCCATTGTCTACATGAGTTAGTTTTGTCAAATTGTCCTTTATGTAGTGTCACATGAAAGTGCGATATTGAATAATGAATTTGAACGTATGAAGAAGGAATTGGCCGTGGCGTATTTCAGATATAACCCAGCACTTACTTAGAAGTGAAGGAATGTACAAAAGTCGACAGTATCTATGGTTCGTCTCGGGTCGACAATCGAACTCAAAACATCTCGAATGTGAAGCTCGAATGACAGCCATTTAATCACGACGATTTATTTTTACACAGAGAACAGAACATTCAGAAAATACTTGCTTTATAATGTCCAGCTTTGATGTTTTTAATAATTTTATTTTTGATGCCGTATTTTCTTTTGAATATAATATTTATAAATTCATATAACGTATCAATACGAATTTAAATGTTTGTTTAACAAATGGACTCGGTTGTGAAAGTGTGGCCTTATAAGGTATTGCACTCCATTTCGTTTGCTGTACAAAACTCCATCTTGTCCAAACAAACAGCTTCTGAGGTATATGTGATGTGAGCACTCAGAAGCCATTGGACGTGTCGTCACCTAAGAAACCACCTTGCTCTCATTGATCCAACTCTCGAGATGACAAGAAACTCACCAACTCATTCTTTTCCATCTCTTCGTAGGTTTATACCCAATAGGTGATCAGTATTGTATTGTTTAAGAAGTATCATATTTCTCATTATTTATATTCTGCATGAACTGCTGAGATGATCATTATCGTCGTTATGAATCCTCCGGGATTTCGATTAATCGCGTGTTTTTGAGCCCTCTGACGTCAAACTCAGTGACTGTTGAGGGTCTCTTAAAGAGAGGTGACATGTTCTGGGGGACATCTCATTGGCGTATTTTTCGGTTTTATATTTTCTCTCAAGCGTACACAAATTGTAATTTCATTTAAATGCATATCCACACGTTTCAATTGAAGTATCAAACAGTAATATACAATTAGTTATTTTGCATGCATCTCAAACTTAGTGTGTTAAAATCGGGACATTTTGGGGCCAAACATCGTGTATAATTTGAGAACTAAAACATGGCATAATACGTCCAGTGTTCTTGCTTTGGTATAAACGTTGTCTTCATTCTATGTATCTCCACAGTTAATTTTTCTCTCATGCCTGTATTTACTTGGTGGTCCTGTCTTGTAAAGCCCGAACCTTAACTAACTTAACCTAACCTAACCTAACCTAACCTGCTTCCAGTCTTCCGGATTTACTTTTCGAAAACAACCAGGCCTCCCCCAGATAATTTCAGAGTTGGTTTCTCTTTGATGTCACATATTTCTGTTATGTCTCTGAATACACTTTTTTCATTCGTATTAGTACCAATAGTCAGCCATCTATACCATGGATTTATGAATGCTCTCTAAAGTAAATCTTTCTGCATAACCGAGCTCCATGTCACGGTGCTTGGCTCTCAAGAGACATTGTTCTTTTTCGCGCTGTTTCGACAGAAGTTTTGCTTCGTTTCCGTCTGTTCCGGAAGGAAAATTGTAGTCCATCAACTTATTTCAGTACAAAGTTCGTCTAAATAATGCCTAAAATTAAGTACGTACCTCAAAGAGAACACAGCGCCTCTGTTAGAAAGATCAAATGGATAATGCTGTTCAGGGGAATAATTGTTGTTTATTCTGAGAATTAAACGAATCATATATATCTACACAATCTGTTGACAAGAAATGGAGTGTGTGAATATTAAAGCAGGTGTTCCGTATTGTTACCACTGGGGTTTAAGTAGTTGAGTAGACTACGATCGCCTTTATTAAATCCCTGTCAGCTCATTTAAGAGGTGTCGTCAAATAAGCACAATGGAGCAGTCTTTGTATCCTAAAACTCGACTCATTCATTCTGTCTTGGACTAATTAAATTTGTAGGCCTATATACAAGAAACTAATTCAAAAAGAACGAAGCGAAGCCTTGATTTGAAGTTCTAAAATAGGTTTCAAGGGGATAAAATTAATTGTTTTAAAAATTTAAATTTACGCCTTTTAATGGATGAGACCACTCGGAAGACCTAAGAGTATGTGGAAGGATAATATTAAAATTAATCTTGAGGAACTAGGGAGGACCTGGATTGGATATATCTGGCTTGTAATTGGGACCCTTGGCGGGCTGTTGTGAACACTTTAAACATGGAATTAAAAACTAGTGTAATGTCCCTCGTAGGTAAGTTACAGTTTAATTACAACATTGAGACTTGTACGCCGGTATGAACACAAAGGCGAGACCGACGTACACAAAGCGGTCGTGACTTGTTAGGGCTTAACGCAGGTCAGCTTCCCAGACAAGGCGTACGTTATTTTACAACTCTACTCTTTCTCGTTTCAACATCCATTTCATCTCTAGATTATTATGTCTCGGATGTTTCCCCAGTAACATGTAATCAATATCTTCAGACACGGGGCAAGTGTTCCGGTAAATTACAAGAGCTTTTATTTACATGAAACAGTCTTAAATGTTATGTGTAATGTGTGCTTGTATTTTGCTGTAGCAATAAACTAATGGCCGTTTGTATTACGGATCTGGACAAAGCACTCGACACGAATTAATAGTACAGGGTCACTGAAAAGAGCTTTCGTATCAACTATAATAATTACCATGCTCTAATTGGCTTCTTTAAGTTGGCAATTCTGGAAAAATTAAACGTCCGTGCGTTAAGTTCTCCGTCAGAGTTGCGTATCTCAAAACATTGTTACTTTAAAAGTCTTTGCCTTTAAAAACCAGCTAATTCATTACGTTATAATGAATTTGACGTTTGAAAGAAATTAGAATTTGTGAATGGAAGTGGGGGAAGAAGTTTTCTTTTTAAAGTTTGTTTTTGATTACGACACTGCTTTTTATAGACTTTGTAACCGGATGCGACATGTCGTTGGATTCATAGATGGGTGGGCTTCTAATAAATGGCTAGGTATCTTTTTTATGATACTGTTTTTTAGTTGGGCACATTGTGGTCTTCATGTAATGGATATCTTGTGTATCTTCTCTTTGTCTGTGCCCACTCTATGGAACTCAGTCTTCATGATACATGATGACAAGACTAAGCCAAGGAAAAGACAATGAATCATCCTTCTTTCTACATTTTTTTACTCTTTTTCTAGACCTCTTTATCTTTACTTCGCTGTATATCTTTATTCTCTTTTGGCACTCGCGTTTCTACTACACTCTCTACTCGATCTTTTTCCACAAGTGTGCCCTACCTAATGTGTCCATTTTGATGTCTCGTATCATTTCAATCTTTATTATAACTTCTCTCCGATACAGTAATAAACGTAACTATTAACTGATTAACTTATTGAATAACTGTAAGCTTTATAGCGTTTCTTAAAAGAAGACCTGTATAACATTTGTGATTTATTATATCAGCACTATAAAATTGCCCGTAAAAATAATGGGAAATTTTAAAGCAGTACTTAAAACATGTTTTGACGTAAATACGTCTATAAGGAAGGGTCATTCGGCAAAAAAGTGGAACGAAAAAGGGAAACGAAAAAGTGTAACAATTGTTACCTAGGGAACGACGTGTTTACTCGGCATTATTGTTACCTAGGAAACCTCATCTGTTTACTCGGCATTATTGTTACCTAGGAAACTTTACATTACATTACATTAAAATACATTACTTTATATTACATTTATCTACCACAGACCCATCTTAAGCGTAACTAATTCAAGTTAAGCATTCAGGCATTTTTGTTACCTACGAAACGTCATCTGTTTACTCGGCATTGTTGTTACCTACAAAACATTACATTACATTACCTTACATTACATTACATTCAGCTACCACTGACCCATTTTAAGCGTAATTGAAGTTGAATAATCAATGTCTTAATCAAACTTTACTCAATTGTAATGCATGTATAAAGGAAATATTTAGAATAAAGCCAATATATAAACTTCCTTTCCGTATAGACGTATCTACGTCAAATTCTCCGGAACCGTGGTTCCACTGACAACTTTTTTAATTGAAAAGTGATTCAGAACATATAAGAATTGAAATCGTAACTTACGTTTGCTTAATAAAAGAATCTGCCAAGCGTTAACATGTAAATGAGCGTTTTTATGCATTTTGTGTATGTAATAGGCCAGGGGTGAGTGAACAGTGGATTGTTTAATTGCGATTCCACAAAGCAGAATACAGAAATTAAAACTAAGTAATGTCGAACAAAAAATTAAAGTCGTTGCTTATATTTAGTAGATTAAAGATTGTAATACAATATAATGCGATTTTACGTACGGAAACTTTAGAAATTATCTTATATAGAGGTTATAATTATGTATGACCATGGCAACGAGAAAATAATTATTATATTATGAAGCACAAAATCCCATAACAAAACACGATCAGCAATCAAGTATTCAAGCAGACAAAACAAAATTGCTTATAATATGCATTATATTGGATATTGTCTATTGCATGAAGTAGGTTATAGTTGAGATACGCGTCGTTTTGAGAACCTGAAGAAGGGATTAAAGCGGGCTCTCGAAACGACTTGTGTATCAAATATACACCAGGCACTAAATGTTGAACACAACATGCAAACAATATGTTGATTAACGTTGTCAGATTTAGATTTTTACCTGAAATAATTTCGTATCAAGACTGTCATATAAAGAGATGTAAAAGACGATCTTTGAAGTTTTATGTACTTCAGACTGTACCTCGTCTACCCACTGTTTTTTAACCAATTATTCTAGAAGTGGATCTATTTCTTACAGAGGAAAATACAAATGTGCTGATGCGTGAACGCTGTATCAACTCGTTACTTTCATCAGACATTGCTATGTCTACTGGAAACCTCAGTGATGACGCCGATCACACGGTCTAACGCACCCTCGTGTTTTATCGTTTTGACTTTGTTTTCAAATAGTTATATCTTACTTCGGTCATTGCAAGATCGGAGAGTAACACTGTTGTTTCGATGTAAGTTTATCATCAGATAAAGCCGTATAAATGCAATGAAATACGACTTTATGACAACAGTAAAAATATTTTTGAGATTTTTGCGTTGTTTCCAGTTCTACGAGTAATGTTCGTGCAAGGGTGAGGTTAGGCTGTTGTAAAAATTAAATAAATTATGAACGTCGCATTTCAGTTATCTGGGTTGTTTTCAGAATACGTTACACAAATCAGTGAAAAATGAAATTTCTTTACCCACATAGAAATTATTTAAAACAAAATAAACCGTATGGTTTATTACCGTGTTCACAAACGTCTACCATCGCACTGTATCCTCACTCAGATAAATCTACCTCATAACCTCACATCTTATTTATTTTAAGACCCACTTTAATATTATCTTCTCGTCTACACTTACTTTTCCCTAATAATAATTGGTGATGTGCTAGCTTACAGATTATTTGCTAATCTTTGTATTCTGTTGTTTTTCTTGTAAACGAAATGTGGACACTTCTCTATAACTCGCTTACGTCACTCATAGACTTTCTTTTGTTTATTTTAAGGTAAGTGAAAAAACACGAACACTTAAAATCTAACATGATGTTTTCTTTATCTTTTGCAGTTGGAAAAGAAGACATAGTGAACTATGATGGAACGCAGTTAGCTGAAGAAGGTAAGGAGGCGCCATTTTGTTTGTTTAAACCCAAAGCTTTGTTCTGTGTCAACAACAGCTGAATGTTGTTTCTTTTCCTTCGATTAGGTCGAAAGACATCGAATCGAGATATTAAAGTAAACTTTCGATTACACAGGTCATTTTCGATTTATAAGAAGCTAATTGTAAGGAAATTAATCGAACGTTAATCTTGCTTGTCTTTTGTTATTCAAGTTTGTCTCTGCGCTGTATTTCTTAGCTTTTGTGCATCGTGTTACTTTTTTATATGCAGTTGAGTGTTCTACTGCTCATGGGGTAGTAAATAGCCCATATAGACGCGTTCTTTCTATATTTAGTCCTTTTGCGACGTGTTCAACTTACACAGCGTCTTAAAATGATTAAAAAATGCTCTAATGATCCGTGTTCCAGAACATTATTTAAACGAATTCTCTATCGTATTAACATTTTTAGCCTATTTTGTGTTAAGTAAAAATAATTAGGATTGTGATATCACCGTGTTCTGTGTGTGTGCTCTCAACTTTTGAACCATTTAACAGATTTTTACGAAGTTTGATATGATCCCTGTTTATTATAAAGCGCACCAATGTTGGGACACTACTATTTAATTTCCCACAATCTTCAATATCAACATGGCGGACGCATTAACTTGTGAGGAAGTATGTAACTTTTGTAAAGGTAAGTTTATATTGAATGTGAAGTAAAAACATGGCGACTGTGCGAATATTTCTTACTTACTTTTAAATTTATTAGCGTTAAAAATAGATGACTTAAGTTAAGAATGTGACACTTTGTACGTATATAGATTATAAAATTCTCTCCGTCTTCAGGTTCCTACACAGTTGGGCCCACTACCTGAAGACGGAGATAGAGTCCCATCTCCGAAACGTCGTTTTACGTTTTATATTTACTAGACGATGGATAATATCCAAGGAAATTTTTATTCAATTGTATTTTAGTGTTTGACTGTAAACGTACAATAACTAAATACTTATAACATTAAAACAAGTAATTTGTCGGAATGAGTTTTGTGCAATTAGATATGATTTCTGCCCCGATCCACGAATGTTTTTACCCCTGAAAAACATTTAAAAGTTAAAACTTGAAATCATATTTGAGAGAAGGGTCTTAGGACACTCCTAACTTTCACACGCTTGTTAGGTAGCAGTCTGTTTTTAAAGGGATATTATTTGTGTGACGCGTAAGCCCTGCCCTCTCGTTTCAGACACTATAACTAACTTTAATTTGTCTTGGGACATTTCTCTCGGTTATGTTGTCTCGTTCCGCTTCTGGCATCTCTGAAGTTTCACACGAATCTCTTTCTGTCAAGGCTGACAAACAATGAACGAAATGCAGACAGACCACACGTGGCATTTTCGGGGATTTTGTTTGAGCAGCTGTCACGTAATATTAACAGTGCTTTCAGCAAAAAAAAATAATTTTATTATTAAGTAAGGTAACATTTCTTTTGAGCCTGGCTCTGTAACGTGTACAGTGGACGCAAAATAACTCCGCCCTTGAGTTACGTCACTGACAAGGTATTTGAAAGAATTCAATTTTATTAATCGTCAGATATAATATATATTCTATAACATTCGTAATTTATTCACGATTATTTACTAATGCCATATGATAGCCACACTCTATAATCGTGTATCTGATCGTCTTCATACTTTACCCTCAATCTGTTATGTCGCTTCAAGGTCGCGCTAGCAGATATTGTACTAAACTTTAAGAAAATATCTATAGATTATACCGTTATTATTTATCCCCCTGTCCTTACTTTCTGCTGAGCAAACATTTTCTCCACTGGACTTATACAAAAACCTTTTCCGTTCTGGCCCATTTTCCTCTTCGGCTATAATTTTGTTATAAAATATCATCTTTCTGGGCAGTCCGCGAACTGTGGCCACCAGTTTGTCAGCGACGTCCACATAAATGTGTTACGTCACAAAACAGCTTCGGCACACTTCTACGGAATCCTCTTTAGAAGCTGCTAGTCGCCCAACCACTCAATGTATACCCTATCTTCCATGAAACCAAAAGTTTCATTGCTGTGATCGAAGCTGCTAGTCGCCCAACCACTCAATTTATGCCCTATCTTCCATGAAACCAAGGTTCAGTGCTGTGATTATAGAAATCCACCATTGGGGCCTGTCTTAAGCCAGATTAATCCAGTCTACTCCCTAAGCTATTCTTGCGACTTGCAACTGGTATTTTCCCATAAAGTTTTCCAACCAAACTTTATAAGCATTTATCATTTCTTCCATGCGTGATCCTATCTCATCCTCCTCTGATTGCATTCTCTTGATTGGCTACCACATCCATAGAATCGTACTTTGACGGTGATGTCACACATAGACGTTCAGCTGCTCCCTTCGGGACGTTCTGGCAGTTAAACGCAATTCTGGAGGACGGACAGCTGTCAGCCGTCAGTCTGTGACACAGCGGGCACGAGGGAACAGACAGACAGACAGACACATTCCAACACATATTCCATTTATTCGAGATTGGTTAGGTTTTCCTCGAATTGTGGGCGTTTGTGGCTGGTGACTTTCTACAATTCGAACTAAACTGAAGCTCACGAAAGAAAGGGGGTTGGTACAAACACCCCGAGATTGGGAACAGGCGAATAAAGGGAAATTCCTATTGAATTGAGTGCGGTGAACAGTGGGAGACAACTGCGAATTTAATCTTAGAGACGCTGTGGTATTCCCTTCTTATCTCCTTCCAAGTAAGAAGATCTCGTAGCAGAAACATGGCGAAAATCTCATCCCCGTCTGTTCAACCCTTGTGAAGTACAAGGCAGTCTCCGATATTAATCACGGCACCCAGCACCCCAGTGCGAGGGTTTGCCCTGGTAATTGACAGCTTTTTTTCTTTCTCTCTCGATGTTTTATTTTAAATTCTGTATCCTCACCTTTTACAAGAATTTATTTTATTCCTTAAAAATATTGACTCTTAAATATTTAATCCTGGTAATACAAATCAAGATTCGTAATTGAATTTTGATAGTTTTATAGACGCACAAACAGCCTAGGATTAAAAACGTCAAATGACTTATAGTAGCTGTTTGATCGAAGGAGGAGTTTAAAAACTTTTAATAAAGCAGGAAACACGACTAATATATATATATATATATATATATATATATATCAATAAAATCTTCTCGGGCAATCAGCCGCGTTAAATGGTTCGGGAACAAACTCTGTCCAAAAAATGACAGTTTTGACGTGTCTTGGTGCTTTAATTTAACCTAGGTGCTTTATGAATCTGTTAACAGTAAACGCTGGACTTAAAACGCTTTTGGGGGGACAGTTTGGAACCTTACTCTAACAGTTATATGGGCTCCAAAACGAATTACGACTAGAATGTGCACTTGGAATATACCACACACTTTTGATCCGTTATGGTAACTTGATTCGTAGAGGTGATATACGGTGAACTAGCCGAATTTTTGTTGGATCTGTTTACATTCCTCAAAGACCAAATATATTACATGTCATATCATTTGTTTAACAGGGACAGTGGCCTCTTTCTGTCGTATTATTGACGTACGACGAAGGCGTGAAGCATCAAGATACACGTTCACATACGGTTTAAACACGTTTTGTAAAACACGTGTGAATGTATTAAAAGTCTTCTAGTGTTTGAAACATATTTCCATTAATGATAAGTATAAACGTCTTTACCCGTATAATAATAGGTACCTTAAATCAGTTCAACTGAAACGGTCTTTTACTTTCTGCCTCAAGACCGTGTTTAATGAAGTTCTTTCTTGATATATCCGACTTTAAACGTGTATTAAAGGGAAGGAAGGTGTAATGTCCGTCTGTACAGCGGTTCTTGCCGTCCACCTTGAATGCTTTTCACCCTCAGGGCTATAAAATGGGACCAAAGCTGTCGTGCGTTTAATGAAAAGATAAGCCTCCCTTATTAAGAATTCTAAAACCCGTCGCTCGGTTATATACTGACGTATCTCTTAGGGCAGCGTTTTACAGTAAGACGAGGGGACATGCTTGTTGCACCTCTAGGTTGATCATCATAAGGATTTGCAGTGGCGTCGGGGAATTTGTGACCGGATGTGAATGCTAAAAAACTATAATCGGAATTTTTATAATTTGCCGGCTTCATCAAAGGCTTAGATTGGAGAATAATATTGAAATGGATCTTAACAGAGTAGGCTGTAGACTGTGATTGAGGATAGGGACTAGTGACGGGCTCTTGTGAACACGGTAATGAACGTTTGAATTCCATTTAATGTGTATAATTTGTTCACTGGATGAGAGACTGTCGGCTTATCAAGAAGGGCTCTGCTCCGTGCAGTTTGTTTAATTATACAGACATGAACAACGCTTAGTTTGTGTTTACGCTATCTCTGATATTCAAGTCAGTAATCTCTGGATTAGTTTATGTAAAGACTTATAGGCTTACATTATTCCTTCGTATACTGTGGTTAATCGGAATGATTAATCGGAATCTACCTGATCTGTTTATTCTTTTCCTGTCAAAAATTCAACATTGTAAAAACAACGAATACCGTTGCATAAATCTTACTTTGAACAAGGGATGTATTTATTCATGTTATGGAAATTTTCCAAAGTTTGTTTTTATGTGGATTTTTAAAAGGCGATCTTCTCGTGGAACACCCGTCCAACGGGGATTTCCCGATTGCGAGGATACAACCCGCATTGCTTCTGCAATTGGACTGAAGCTTAAATATTGAGGCCGGACCCCTTAGAAAACACCATCTCTTTTGTTTCTATTTCATATATGCAACACAGAGGAGTGTATCCAGGCAACGCATTGGTGATGTCTTGAAAGCAAAACGGTGAAAAAAGGTCTGGTGATAACTTGAAGTTGATTGCAGTTTGAGGCAGGTTGCTGGGATAAGTTTATTGTCACTCGAGAGAAATTTCTGTGTTGCTTCGAGTGTCAATTGCCTTTTTATGTCGGTCATTTTAAGAGAATAACAAATTATACCAAGGCTATTGATTTGAATA